GGCCACCGGTGGCCCTCACACCCGCGCGGCGGGGTGCAGACTCAACAGGGTGTGTCGGACCATCGGGCAGCCGTTGGAGATGCACCGCGCGGTTGTGGTTCCCCGCCAGAACCCAACAACGTGCTGGTTCTCCTGATCGCATATATTCCTGCAGTACGCCATCGAAGATCATCAGTTCCCACCTTGAGGTGTGGGCAGCAGCGTTCAACGGCCAAGGTGTGGTTCAAGTCTCGTCCGTTTCTCTTTCGCAGAACTTTCTTCCACGAGGTGCATCAGACGTTTAGATGTCATGCTAGTGGGTGGAGACGCCACCTCTGCTGGATTGGCGTCTCGCTAGCCGTCGGCCGGACGCGGAGTCTCTCCGCCCCGTGCTGCGCAGGATGGTGCCGCAGTCGCCAGGGACACGACCACCTTCACGACGGCCGACAGGGTACGGTGCACGGCAGGCCCCTTGGCCGCCGCCGGTGACGCGACCTTCAACGTGGGATCAGAAGCGTTGCGTGATAATCCTTGTGGCTCCTTGCCGCGCAATCTCACGCTTCCGTCTGGGCACCAGCATTATCATTCTACAGATTGGGTATTCTGGCGTCGGGGACGCCCTGCCCCTGCTTCCTTGACGTGCTCTTCAGCGCGGAGCGTTCCCTGGAGGTGTTCGTGGGTAGGGCCATCGTGCAGCGTTTCCACGGCGGTCTCCCTTCTGAAGACGATGGCGGAGGCCCTCTCCTCGAGGGTGCTCGTGGAGGCGATGTTTTTCTTCTGCGGCACGCTGGTACTCATGGAGGCCTTTTTTTCGGAAAGTGTTCCTGGAGGTCTTCGTCATCAAAGTGCTCGCGGAGGTCTTATTTAAGAGGGTGCTCGTGGAGGCTATCTTCGCGCTGGTGCTCGCAAAGGCCTTATTTGGAGGATAATCGCAAAGGTCTTCTTCATGGACGTGCTCGTGTAAGCCTTTTCTGGGCGGGTGCCCGCGGAGGGTGCTCGTGGAGGTATAGGAAGCCTTTTCCGGGAGGGTGCTCGTGGAGGTTCGCTTGGTCGCGGTGCTCGCAAAGGCGTTTTCCCGAGCGTCATCGCCAAGGTCTTCTTCGTCGATGTCATCGTGGAGGTCTTCTACGGGATGATGCTCGCGGAGGTATTTTTCACTCGCGTTCGTGGATGACTTCTTCGGAGGGCGCTCGTGGAGGTCCTCACGAACATGTTCGCGGAGGCTTTTTCCCGAGGGATGTTCGTGGATGTCTTCTTCGAGCCATTGCTCTTGGTTGTATACTTTGCGAAGCGTTCGTGGAGGTATTATTCATCAGTGTGCTCGTGGAGGCCTTCTGCGGGAGGCTGTTCGCAGATGTCTTCTTCACGCTGGCGGTCGTGAAGACCGCCTCCGGGAGGGAACTCGTGGAGGTCTTTTTCATGCTGGTGCCCGTAGAGGTGTACTTCTTGGTGTTCATGAAGGTTCTCGTCGTTACGGTTGGCTGCTTCGTGGACCTCTCGCTGGACTCCCTCCGTCGCTGGGTAGTGACGCTCTGTGGGTCATCATCTCTGTAGTCACCGTGCCTCGTCCACTCGCCGTGCCTCGTCCATTCCTCAAGCCCGTACTGCCGAGCTGGAGTCAATCTCGGGTCACCGGTGGCCGTCACACCCGCGCGGTGGGGTGCAGACTCAACAGGGTGTGTCGGACCATCGGGCAATCGTTGCGGCTGCACCGCGCGGTTGCGGCTCCCCGCCAGAGCCCAACCGTCATCGTCATCATCATCATCATCATCATCATCATCATCATCATCCTCATCCTCATCATCCTCATCCTCATCCTCATCATCCTCACCATCATACTCATCCTCATCATCATCACCATTATCATCGACATCGACACCGTCATCGTCATCATCAGCATCATCATCAGAATCCTCATCCTCATCCTCATCCTCATCCTCATCCTCATCCTCATCCTCATCATCGTCGTCATCATCATCCTCATCGTCATCATCGACATCGACATCGTCATCGTCATTGTCATCAACACCACCATCATCATCAGCAGCATCATCATCATCTTCATCGTAACCGTCATCGACAACCACACCCACAATCATCATCATCATCATCATCATCATCATCATCATCACCATCGTCATCATCATCATCATCATTATCAGCAACATCATCATCCTCATCATCATCAATATCATCATCAGCATAATCAGCTTCAGCATCATCATCATCATAACCCTCATCATCATCATCATCATCATCATCATCATCATCAGCATTCTCATCATCATCATCATCATCATCATCATCATCGCCATCATCATTATCATAATCAGCATCATCGTCACCATCATTATCGACCACTACCACCACCATCGTCATTAGCAGCATAATCATCATCAGCATCCATCACCACCACCACCATAACCATCATCGTCATCATCATCCTCATCATCTCCATGCTCATGCTGATCATCATGCTCATCATCATCATCATCATCATCATCACCATCATCATCATCGATATCGACATCGTCATCTTGATCGTCATCATCATCATTATCATCATCATCATCATCCTTCTGGTGGTCATACTCATCCGCAGCATCATCGTCATCATCATCCCCTTCGACATCGTCATTGTCGTTGTCATGACTACCACCATCATCATCAGCATCATCATCGTCATCGTCATCGACCACCACCACCACAATCATCATCATCATCAGAATCATCGTCACCATCATCATCATCCTCATCATCATTATCAGCAGCATCATCATCCTCATCCTCATCCTCATCACCATCATCATCATCATTATCATCACAATCAGCATCAGCATCATCGCCCTCATCCACATCATCCTCATGGTCATCATCATGATCGTCATCATCATCGTCATGATCATCAGCATCATCATGGTCATCATCATCGTCATCACCATCATATTCATCGACCACTGCCAACACCATCACCAGCAGCATCACAATCACCATCAGCATCCATCACCACCACCACCACAACCATCATCGTCATCAGCATCCTGGATATCCTCATTCTCATCCTAATCCTCTTCATCATCATCATCATCATCACCATCATCATCGTCGACATCGACATCGTCATCGTCATCGTCATCAGCATCATCATCCTCATCAGCATCCTCATTCTCATAATCATCGTCCGCATCATCATCCTTCGACATCGTCATCGTCAGTGTCACCACCGCCACCATCATCAGCATCATCAGAATGGTCATCGTCATCATCATCAACCACCACCAACACAATCATCATCATCATCATCATCATCATCATCATCATCATCATCATCATCATCATCATCAACACCATCGTCATCATCCTCATCATCATTATCAGCAGCATCATCATCCTCATCCTCATCAGCATCTCCATCATCATCATCATCATCATCATCATCATCAGCATCAGCATAATCATCATCATTACCATCATCACCACCATCATCATCATCAGCATCATCATCATCATGGTCATCATCCTCATCACCATCACCATCACCACCATCATCATCATCATCATCATCATGGTCATCATCATCATCATCATCATCATCATCAGCTCCCTCATCAGCATCATCATCAGCATCCTCATCATGGTCATCATCATCATCATCATACTAGAATCAGCATCATCATCACCACCATCATCATCGACCACTACCACCACCATAATAATTAGCAGCAGAGTCACCATCAGCATCCATCACCAACACCGCAACCACCACAACCAGCATCGTCATCATCAGCACCATCCTCATCATCATCGTCATCATCATCATCACCATCATCGTCATCATCATCGACATCGACATCGTCATCGTCATCAGCATCATAATCATCATCATCCTCGTCCTCGTCCTTATCCTGATCATCATCATCGTCATCATCATAATCCTCATCGTCATCATCGACATCGACATCGTTATCGTCATTGTTATCGTCATCACCATCATCATCATCATCATCGTCATCGTCACCGTCTTCGACCACCACCACCACAATCATCATCGTCATCACCATCGTCATTATCCTCATTATTATCAGCAGCATCATCCTCCTCCTGCTTCTTCTCCTCCTCCTCATCATCATCATCAGCATCATCAGCATCAGCATCAGCATCATCATCATCCTCATCACCATCATCATCATCCTCATCATCAACAACATCATGGTCATCATCATCATCGTCATCATCACCATAATCATCATCATGGTAATCATCAACATCCTCCTCATCATCATCATCATCATCATCATCATCATCATCATCATTATCATCACCATCGTCATCATTACCATCATCGACCACTACCACCGCCATCATCATCAGCAGCATAATCATCATCAGCATCCATCACCACCACCACCACCACCACCGTCATCGTACCATCAGCATCATCCTCATCCTCATCCTCATCCTCATCATCATCATCATCGTCATCGACATCGACATCGACATCGTCATCGTCATCGTCATCAGCATCATCAGCATCATCATCATCGTCATCGTCTTTATCCTCATCATCATCATCATCATCATCACCATCATCATCATCATCATCATCCTCATCGTAATCGTTGACATCGATATCGTCATCGTCATTGGCAGCACCACCACCACCATCATCATCATCATCATCATCATCATCATCATCATCAGCATCATCATCATCATCGTCATCGTCATCGTCATCGACCACCACCACCACAATCAGCATCATCATTATCAGCAGCGTCATCATCATCCTCGTCATCATCATCAGCATCATCATCACCATCATCATCACCATCATCAGCATCACCCTCATCATCTTCATCTTCATCCTCAGAATCATCATCCTTGTCATCATCATCATCATCATCATCAGCAGCATCATCTTCATCAGCATCATCATGGTCATCATCATCATCATCATCATCAGCAGCAGCAGCACCATCATCATTCCGCGGAGGCGGCGATGCCCCCGAGCCCGACAGCGCCTGGCAATGGCCCACCAGCCGGCAGCAGGTGTAGAACTCCTGCGCGGGCGGGGCGCGGCACGGGGGGGGAGGGGGCAGCGGCAGGGCGCGGCAGCCCTCCACGAAGGCAGCGTGGGGGGACGATCCATTCTGTGACTACGGGAACGTCAGCCATGAACCATACCATGATACCAGAGAAAAACCCAATCAACATCTTTTTACCTAACAGCTCTTGCTGATAGGTTTCTAGTGGTGTCAAAAGAGAGCATCTGGACTCCACAGGGGGGTCTGGGCGGGTGCCGGGGAGGAGGGCCGGGAACAGAGCCGGGCTCGTTTTAAGCCAACAGTCACACACTTCGTGCTCTTCGACCTCCCAGAACTCCATTCCCGGGCCACATTTTGAATAACCGGAGCCAACTGTAGGCCACTTCGTGCTCTTCGACTTCCCAGAACTCCATTCCCGGGCCACATTTTGGATGCCCGGAGCCAACTGTAGGCCACTTCGTGCTCTTCGACTTCCCAGAACTCCATTCCCGGGCCACATTTTGGATGCCCGGAGCCAACTGTAGGCCACTTCGTGCTCTTCGAGTTCCCAGAACTCCATTCCCGGGCCACATTTTGAATGCCCGGAGCCAACTGTAGGCCACTTCGTGGTCTTCGAGTTCCCAGAACTCCATTCCTGGGCATGATTTTGAATGCCCGGAGCCAACTGTAGGCCACTTCGTGTTCTTCGAGTTCCCAGAACTCCATTCCCGGGCCACATTTTGAATGCTGAGGCAGGCTGATGCTGAGGCTGAGGCAGGCTGAGGCAGGCTGAGGCTGAGGCCGAGGCTGAAGGCAGACTGAGGCTGAGGCTGAAGCAGGCTGAGGCTGAGGCTGCAGGCTGAGGCTGAGGCTGAGGCTGAGGCAGGCTGATGCTGAGGCAGGCTGAGGCTGAGGCTGAGGCTGATGCAGGCTGAGGCTGAGGCAGGCTGAGGCTGAGGCCAAGGCTGAAGGCAGACTGAGGCTGAGGCTGAAGCAGGCTGAGGCTGAGGCTGAGGCAGGCTGAGGCTGAGGCTGAGGCAGGCTGATGCTGAGGCAGGCTGAGGCTGAGGCTGAGGCTGATGCAGGCTGAGGCTGAGGCAGGCTGAGGCTGAGGCCGAGGCTGAAGGCAGACTGAGGCTGAGGCTGAAGCAGGCTGAGGCTGAGGCTGAGGCAGGCTGAGGCTGAGGCTGAGGCAGGCTGGCTGAGGCAGGCTGAGGCTGAGGCTGAGGCTGATGCAGGCTGAGGCTGAGGCAGGCTGAGGCTGAGGCCGAGGCTGAAGGCAGACTGAGGCTGAGGCTGAAGCAGGCTGAGGCTGAGGCTGAGGCAGGCTGAGGCTGAGGCTGAGGCAGGCTGATGCTGAGGCAGGCTGAGGCTGAGGCTGAGGCTGATGCAGGCTGAGGCTGAGGCAGGCTGAGGCTGAGGCCGAGGCTGAAGGCAGACTGAGGCTGAGGCTGAAGCAGGCTGAGGCTGAGGCAGGGAGGCTGAGGCTGAGGCAGGCTGATGCTGAGGCAGGCTGAGGCTGAGGCTGAGGCTGATGCAGGCTGAGGCTGAGGCAGGCTGAGGCTGAGGCCGAGGCTGAAGGCAGACTGAGGCTGAGGCTGAAGCAGGCTGAGGCTGAGGCTGAGGCAGGCTGAGGCTGAGGCAGGCTGAGGCTGAGGCTGAGGCAGGCTGAGGCTGAGGCTGTGACTGCGACTGCCGTTGCCACTGCGACTGTCATCGCGAATGCGACTACGACTGCGAGAACAGCAGAATTCTACAACTGGATTCTCATCCGAATCTTAAGGGGAATGCTTCCAGATATGCTCCTACACATCGCTGTTAGGTTGCTTTGCCGGGATAATTAGGGCTGTAGGGCTATAGGGCTACAGGGTTATATGGGCTCTTGGGCGCTATATGGGCTATATGGCTATCTGGCTATATGGCTATATGGCTATATGGCTATATGGTTATAGGGCTATAGGGCTATAGAGCTATAGGGCGATAGTGATATAGGGCTATAAGGCTATAGGGCTACAGGGCACCAGGCACCCGGGCACCTGGGCACCCGGGCCCGGCCACCGAATCGGCGGCGAACCCGGGCATCCGGGCACCCGGGCACCAGGGCACCCGGGCCTGAGGGCCTGGCCACCGAATCGGCGGCAGACCTCACCTAGCCTTAAATCCGCTAGGACCCCTACAGAGGCAAGCTCTGATTGGGGAATGTTTGGACTCCCTTCAGGCCCCGCTCCAACGCGGTGAGGTGCATAGGTTGTCGGCCCTGAGGGGCCCGAAAACTGCGCGACGGTCTCGTGCCAGGATCGAGGATCGACGACGCCCCATCAGACGCCGACGCGGTACGGTGCACACGAATCTTCCGCGGAACTGTGGCTCCTGGCCATCTGCGAGGGGGCAGTCCCCAAACGACCGTGCTGCAGTGACGCACCACCCCGTGACTTCCGCCCATCTCCGATGCGGGCAGCGCTCCAGGAGCTGCGCCGCTCCGAGCCGGGCGCTGCCGCGGCCTGAGCCAGGATGCAATTCGCCAGCCCAAAGGGGCAGGAGGCGTGCTAAGATCTCCGGCAACAGGTTTACAATCTTCTAGCTCGCGCGCGCGTGGCGGTCCCTGGGGGCCCCTCGACGACAAGTACCCTGAGAGGAGCCCGGCGAACCTCGGGTCAGAGATGGCTTTCCTCCTGGGGTGTGCCGGCACGCCGTCTTTGGATTTCCAGAACGCTTCAGGAGCGTTTGAAGGCGGCCCCGGGACGCTCCAAGATGGCCCAGGACGCCGAAAGTCATTCCAAGACGCTCAAGATGGTCTCCAGACGGCCCTCGAGGCCGCCGAGACGCTCGAAGAGAGCCTCCTGAGGCCCTCCAAGAGAACCCCAAGAAGCAAAAATTGTTCCACTCCCTTGGGGAAACTTACACTTTCTGCATGTACGACTTTGGAGGTTCACACCGTCCAAGACTGCCCAGGACACGCCGCAAGCGGCACTTCCAGACAACCAGCCGGGCCCCAAGAAACCCCCAAGAGGTTCTAGGAAGCCTCCAAATGCCAAAAAACATCCCCTCTGGCCTCCGCACCGCGGAGGAACCTCGAGACGTGAGATGAGCAGCGGTCCCGCTGCTTTTGCTACCCCCCCCCCCCGCATGTTCAACTCGTGCGTGCGCAGACCCAGCAACGCAGCGTGGGCAACGGACGCACATGCAAAAGCCAGCGGCGCCTCCTTATGGGCCAGCGGAATGAGCGAAGCGATCAATAGTGCAGACCCCGTCGGCCCAGTCGAGAAGGGGCACTGGGCAGCCCAGGACAGGAGGGACCACCCTCCCCCTGGAGGACCCGTACGCCCGCCGAGGCGGAATTGGGGGCCTTCTCAAAAGGCCGCCGCTCCCCCCGACCCCGCCCATGCCCCCCCCTTGCGATGGCAGTGACACGGCTCGACCTAAACTGTCCTTTGCGTTTTCGTTCTGCTTTCGTCTTCCCTCGTGCTGTCTTCGTTCCGCCGTTGTTGCACAACGACTTCCAAAACGAAAACAGTCAGCGAAAGCGCAAAAACACCGTTTAGCTCGAGCGCTGGCCAGTGATCCTCAGGATGTGTGCGTTGGCGGTAATTAACCTGTGCGTTTGTCCACCGGAGCCCTTCCATCTGACGTAGGCGGTGCAATGAAGGCCGACGGAGGCTGCATGCTACGGGCGGAGCGAAGCGGGGTGAACACACACTGGGCCAACGCACGTCGCGAGGATCAGCGGCCTTAGCGCGCCGCGCGTCCTGCGAGCTCAGCCGGTCCAGCCCAGCAGGGTTGCTCACGCTCCAGATCTCCTTCAGCACCCTGCGAGGCAAGCCCGACGACTTCAGGAACTCCGCGCACCGCGCGGCGTCCGCCGTCGCGCGGGCCATGTCCGCGACCGTCTTGTTTACGTCGCAGAGGCCCTCCATGAGCTTGGAGTAGGCCGCCCTCTCCTCCCTGCTCCAGTCCAGCGCCGGTCGGTCCTCGCGGATGATGTTGGAGGAAGGAATGGCGGCATCAACGCAAACTCTGGACGGTCCGCGCGGACGTCCTGGATCTGCGCTGGACCCCACTCCCTTGCGCGCGGAGCGCGCCACGGGCGGCGCCGGAGGCGCCGCCAAGGAGGTCCAGCGCAGATCCAAAAAATCCGCGCGGACCGCCGAAAATCTACGCTGATGCCGTTTTTCTTCTTCGAGATGTCCGCGGAGAGCCCTCCGCCGCGAACGTCTGAGGCGGTGCCTGGCGGCCGGCGCAGGTCAGAGCTGCCGGGGAGCACCCGCTTCTCCTCCCACTCGCCCTCGGCCGCGCCCGGGAGCTGGAACGCAGCCGCCAGGCCGCCGCCTCTCAGAAGCCGCGAGACGCGGCTGAGGACCCAGCTCTGGCTTGCGTGGCTGAAGACCTCGACCCAGTCTCCCACCTTGAGGTCCTTCTGCACGGCCTTCTGCGCGTCGCCGGTCGCGCGCACGTCCTTGTGGTCGGCCGGGATGTCCTTCCGGGACCACTCCCCTGGCCCACTGCCCGGAGCCAGGAACGCCACGCTGAGCATGTTCCCGGCGGTCCGCTCCACCTGTCCTGGGCACCAGGCCCCATGGGTGTTGCTGTACACCTCCACGGCCTGCCCCTCGCCGAAGGCATCGGCTGGGCCGAACGCCGGCTCCCGCGACGCAGCACCGAACCACGCAGCATCGGCAGCGCCAGGCGAGGCTCGCCGAAGGCTTTTGTGGTTGAAGGGCAGCACCTTCGTGGAGAGCTCGCTCGGCCCGGCCCCTGGGAGCCGGAAGGACACTACGATGGACGAGCTGGCCCTGTCTACGGACTCGACCCGGGCCCCGCACCACGACTTGCAGGAGTTGCTGAACACCTCGACCGCGTCCCCAGCCTTCAGTCCAGCGCCCAGGTTGCCAGCCTGCGGCTGGGGGCCCGCCACCGTCGACGGCGGACCGGGCGCGGCGCTGCCTTGCCTCCGCAGCTCGGCGGGCGCACCGCTGCCTTGCCTCTGCAGCTCGCCGGGCGCGTCGGAGGGCCGCTCGGCCGCGGGCGTGCAGGATTCCGCCCCGCGCGCGTCGATCGACTCCGCGGGGCCCATCAGCGCGTCGTACGCCGCGAAGGGTGCGGCGGCGATCCCCTGGGCGGCGTAAATGGGCGCGTTCACGGCGCCGCGCACCACCATCCGCGCGCTGCTGCGGAGGGCGGCGCCGACACCCGCGAGGCTGGTGACCCACGCCGGGACGGGGCCCACGCCGAGGCGGTCGCACAGCTCGGCGGAGAAGTGGCAGCAGTTCCGCCGCAGCAGGTCGTAGTCCGAGCCTGGCCACTCCCTCGCCAGCTTGTCGAGAAGCCTGTTGAAGTCCTTTTTCGACAGGGTGGTGTCGCCCATCGGGAGGCCCTCGCGGTAGCTATGGGCGCTGCAGCCCTTCGGCGGGCACCAGAAAATGCCACTGCCGTGGGGCCCATCGCTGAACGCGCCGAAGCTCCACTCCTTCCCATGCACCTGCGTACAGCTGGAAATGAATGAAGGTTCTTGCTGGCTGAAGATCATCCCCCTCCTCTTCCCCGTCCTCTTTCCCTCCTCACGCCACACCACCCCCAGACACGACCTTGGACTGAAAGCCCCCCTCGCTCTCTCCCCCCTCAGGAAAAAGGAGAAAGATCAGGAGGATAGGCACACCCGACCCCCCCAGACACCGTCTTGGAAACGCTATCGAGCTGTATCCCGCTGTGGCCACGAAAACACCCCATGAGCGCACCAACGATCCCTCGAGAAAAAAACGTTTCTCCTCCCTCCCCCTCCCTCCCCCCCTGCCTGCCCTGCCTCCCCCCTCCTCCTGGTCCTTGTCCTCTTCCTCCTCCTCCTCCTCTTCCTCCTCCTCTTCCTCCTCCTCCTCCTTCTCCTCCTCCTCCCCAGAGCAGATCGGAATGAATCTCCACGTTCCGTGCATGCATTGAGGGAAACACGACAACTACATATCTCTTTTTCTCGCCACACAGAAGGACCAACAAAATTACCAACCCTCATGTGTTGGGTTCTCGTTTTGCATAGAATACTGTGCTCTCCAACCTCCTTCCTCCCCTCCCTCCTGCCTCGTGCCTCCTACGTCCTGCTGCCTGTCTCCTCATCCTTGTTTTCATCCTCCCTTCTCTCCTTCGCCCTGCTTACGCTGCCTGGCCGTTTTCGTGCGGGGCTCTCCCTGTCGCCACTGTCGTGGGCTCCTGGGGGGTCGCGCGGAGTGGAGCGGTACACGGGCCCAGTTGGGACCTCGTGGCTTCCTGCGTGGCTGCGAATTGCGCAACTGTCGCCACTTTCGTGGGCCCTTGGGAGGCCCAGCGGGATGGCGTGGTTCGCAAACCCAGTTGGGACCCCGCAGTTCTCTGCGTGGCTGCGAATTGGGCAACTCTATCCACTTTCGTAGGGCCCCTGGGAGGCCCAGCGGGGTGGAATGGTACGCAGACCCAGTTGGTACCTCTCGGCCCCCAACGCAGTTGCGAATTGCCCCTGGGAGTTTCAGCGGGGTGGAGTTGTACGAGGATCCAGTTAAGACCTCGCGGCTTCCTGGGAGCTGCGCACCTTCGCGGGCCCCTGGGAGGTCCAGCGGAGTGAAGCGGTACGCAGACCCAGTTGGGACCTTGCGGCGCCACGCGTGGCTGCGAGGCGCCTTGCGGCGCCTTGCGCAACTGTCGGCGCATTCGCGGGCTCCTGGGGGGTCGCGCGGGGTGGAGCGGCACACAGGCCCAGTTGGGACCTCGCGGCCCCCTGGGGGGCTGCGAAATGCGCAACTGTCGCCACATTCGTGGGGTCCTGGGAGGCCCAGCGGGGTGGAGACCCAGTTGGGACCTCGCGGCTCATTGCGTGGCTGAGAATTGCACGTATGTCGCCACTTACGTGGGCTCAAGGACGCTGCAAACCCAGTCTGGACCTGGAAGCTCCCTGCGCGGCCACGGCTGGTGCAACTGTCGCCGCTTTCGCTGGCTCCTGGGAGGTCCAGTGGAATAGAAGTGTACGGGTATCTAATTGGCATGGGTGGGTGCGACGCGCCAAACGGTCACCAATTTCGTGGGCTCCTGGGAGGTCGCGCGGAGTGGAATTGTACGAGGATCCAATTGGGACCTCACGGCTCCCTAGGGGCTGCGTAGTGCGCAACTGTCTACGCTTCGTGGGCTTCTGGGAGGCCGCCCTTAGTGGAATTGCACGTGGATCAAATTGGGACCTCGCGGCTCCCTGGGGGCCTGCGAAGCGGGCAAGTGTCGCCACTTTCGCCGGCTCCTTGGAGGGGCGCGCGGGTGGAGTGGTACGCAAACCCAGTTGGCAACTCGCGGCTCCCTGGGAGGCTGCGAAGTGCGCAACTGTCAGCACATTCGCGGGTTCCTGAGGGGTCGCGCGGAGTGGAATGATACGCAGGCCCCGACGGGACCTTGCGGCACCATGCGTGGCTGCGAATTGCGCAACTGTCGCCACCTTCGCGGACCCCTGGGAGGTCCAGCGGAGTGAAGCGGTACGCAGACCCAGCTGGGACCTTGCGGCGCCATGCGTGGCTGCGAATTGCGCAACTGTCGGCGCATTCGCGGGCTCCTGGGGGGTCGCGCGGGGTGGAGCGGCACACAGGCCCAGTTGGGACCTTGCGGCCCCCTGGGGGGCTGCGAAATGCGCAACTGTCGCCACGTTCGTGGGCTCCTGGGAGGTCGCGCGGAGTGGAGTTGCACGGGGGTTCAGTTGGGTCCCGGGGGGGCTGCGAAGTGCGCAACTGTCGCCACTTTCGCGGCTGGGAGGTCCAGTGAAGTGGAGTTGTACGGGGATCGGTTCCATAGGGGTGGTGCGAAGTGCGCAACTGTCGCCATTGTCGCGGGCTCCTGGGAGGCCGCGCGGGATGGAATTGCACGGGGATCAAGTTGGAGCCTCGCGGCTCCCGCGGCTCCCTGCAAGGCCGCGAAGTGCGCAACTGCCGCCATTTTCGCGGGCTCCCGGGAGGTCGCGCGGAGTGGAATTTTACGGGGATCCAGTTGGGCTCTCGCGGCCCCCTGGGGGGCTGCGTAGTGCGCAACTGTCGCCACTTTCGTGCGCTCCTGCTCGGGAGGTCGCGCGGAATGGAGTTGTACGGGGATCCAGTTGGGACCTCGCGGCTCCCTGGGGCTCTGCGAAGTGCGCAACTGTCACCACTGTCGCGGGCTCCCGGGAGGTCGCGCGGTATGGAGTTGTACAGGGATCCAGTTGGGACCTCGCGGCTCCCAGGGGGGGCTGCGAAGTGGTCAACTGTCGCCACTTTCGTGGGCTCCCGGGAGGTCGCGACGAGAAATGCAATCCACTACAAGCTCTCGCATCCCAAATGGCCAGGGTTCCCATAGCGCGCGGCGCTGTCCCGTCGCCCAGCGCTCGGTCATGTCGCATCGCAGCTCGCGGGGAGCCGCCGCGCCACGCAGCGCATGGCGCTGTTGTTTGTCTGCGTGGCCCTCCATCCTCGGCTGCCTCTGGCCCGCCATGCCACCCGCGCGCTTGCCTCGCGAAGTCCGACGCGCTGTTCTGCTCCAGAGCGAGCGCATGGCGCTGTTCTTCCCCGCGAATGTAGCGTTCGGCGCTGCTGCGTTTACTGAACACGCATGTCCCTCCGTCTCATCCTTTTGTGTGTTTCTGTTTCTGTCTCTATCTTGCTTATTCCTCCATACGTTCTTCCGTACTTCTGGGAGCTCATGCGCACTGCGGGTTATTCAATATGTCCGTGTGCAGTGAACGTTTATATATACATATATATATATACTAGAACCATCGCGCGCGCTTCGCGCGCGCTCAGGTTCTAGCCCTGGGGGGCGCTGGACGATCTTGGACAACGATATCAAGCACAGGCGCGCGACGGCATCTGAGGAGCTTCTGGGGTGTTCCGCATGCTTCGTCAACTGGCTGTTGGAGGCACCTCTTGGGTGCTTCTTGGGGGGGCGTCTGAGGGTCCCTTGGGGGCATCGGTTCTGCAATCTGAAGCCGTCATTGGCCGTCTTGGCTGCGTGGAAGCCCGACTTGAGGCCACCTGCGGCCAGATTGAGGCAATCCGGAAGCCTCCCGGGGGCCTCCTGGAAGCAGTTTTGACGCATCGAGGGCACTCTTGGGCTATCTTAAAGCCTCTTGGACGTCTCCTAGGGGCCTCTTAGGCCCTCGGGAAGCTATTGGGGTCCTCGTCGGACCACTTGGGGGCCTCTTGCGGCCTCCTGTGGGCCTTGTGGGGGGACCGATCTGCTGTTGGGTCGCGTTCCCCTTCTTGGGCCTCTCTTGGGGCTCTTGGGGCCCTCTCGGGCCGTCTTGGGCGCCTCAAGCACCGTCTTGGGGCCCTCGCGGGCCGTCTTGGGGCCCTCTTGGAGTCCTCTTCCTCTATATGGGAGCGGTATTGGAAGCCTCTTGGGCCGTCTTGGAGCATCGGGATGCCAAAAGGCCGAAAAAATTAAAACCCGTCAAAGCCCAATCGTAAAACAATGAGTTGTGCCTCTTGGGGCCACCTTGGGAGATCTCTTGGAACCTCGTCGGCCCTCTTGGGAGCTTCTTGGGGGCCTCTTGGATCCGATTGGGGGCCTCTTGGGACTTCCCGAGAACCTCTCGGGGTAGAAAGCTCGGATTCTCGGTTCGTGTTTCCCTTCTTGGGCCTCTCTTGGGGCCGTCTTGGGGCCCTCTCGGGCCGTCTTGGGCGCCTCAGGCACCGCCTTGGGGCCCTCGTGGGCCGCGCAGGGCCCTCTTGGAAGCCTCTTCGGCTATCTTGGAGCTGTCTGGGAGGCCTCTTCCTCCTCCTCGTCCCCCTCCTCCTCCCTCCTCCCACTCCAACTCTCTCTCCTCCTGATCTTCCTCCTTCTCCTCCTCCTGCAGCGTGTTCCGGAAGGCTCCCGCCGGAACATGCTGTGCACAAGTGCTGTCACTGCTCCCGCCACCGTGCCCTGGGTGGTGGGTCAGAGGCCTCATGGGTGTTGGTTTGGATCTCGTGGTTGGCCTGTCGGGGACGTCGTGAAGGCAGTTTCGCAGCTTCTCGGTAGCCGTTTTGGGACCGTTGTGGGGCCTCCTCGGGGCTGTTTTGTAGCCTCTTTAGGCCTCGTTTGGGCCTCCTGGGTGCCTCTTGGGGGCCTCCTGGGGCCTCTTGGGGGCTCCTTGGGGCCTCCTGGGGCACTCTTCAAGCGGGAGGGTCGAATTTTGGAGTCGTGGTCCCCCTCTTGGGCGCATCTTGGGGCCGTCTTGGGGCTCTGTTGGGCTGTCTTGGGCGACTCTGGGGCCGTCTTGGGGCCCTCTTGGGCCGTCTTGGGGCGCCCTTGGGGGCCTATTGAGCCGTCTTGGAACGTCGGACAGCCGAAAAGGCTGGAAGGCCAAAATCGTTCGAAAACCTTCGTACAATTGACGATTTCGGCCTCTGGAAGCGCTCTGGAGAGGCGTCTTGAAGCGTCGTGGAGTGCCTTGGGGGGCCTCTCGGGCCGTCTTGGGCCTATCTTGGGCGTCCTGGAGCGGTCTTTCGGCGACTCGGGGCCCGCTTGGGC